ATCAGTCTGGCAGTGCCACAAAGGAGAGCGCCCCCTACTGAATCACCAGCCCCCCTTCAGCAATACTCACTTCAGTCTTCTTAAACTTGGCCTTCAGGCTTTTCATGCTGGCTTGAGTTCTCACGCTCTGTCTCTGTTTCAGGGGAAGTCTCTGAACAAGGAACATAATGATGTTTTAAGGTATGAGTGAAGCCTGGTCTCTCTATCGCAGGGGTTCTCAAACTGGGGGTCGTGACCCTTCAGGGGGTCACGAGGTTATTACATGGGGGGGTCGCGAGCTGTCGGCCTCCACCCCAAACCCCGCTTTGCCGCCAGCATTTATAATGGTGTTAAATATATAAAATGTTTTTAATTTATAAGGGGGGTCACACTCAGAGGCTTGCTGTGTGAAAGGGGTCACCAGTACAAAAGTTTGAGGACCCCTGCTCTATCAGAAGCTAAACGCCGGGTGTAAATTCAAACATTCCCATCTCTCCCCACATCCCAGTGAGGCAATCAAAACTCTTTCAGTGTTTAAAGGTGGAGCTGCCTCCCGTCATGATACATGACACCGGACCAAGCCACTCAATAGACTGCTGTGTACGAGCAGTGGGAAGACATGGTGTAGCACAGAACGGTGCTCGGCTCTATCCAAAAATTCAGACTCATGCAACCTTTCTTTACTGACTTGTCACCAAAATGAGCCAAACCTTAGGGCAGTGGTTCTCCACCTATTTACCATTGTGGGGCGCATATGCAGCTCTCTGTCTTATGTGGGCCACATCCACACAACATATATACTCCCTGTATGGCCCTGAGGATGTCACATGGGCCGCAAGTGGCCGCAGGTTGAGAACCACTGGCTTAGGGGGTGCCAGATGCTGATTTCAAATGCATACGTCCCTTCTCTTCCATTTGTTTGCTCCTACCAGCATCAACTGCCTTGGAACACTTGACGTTTGATTTTTCGCTTGTACGTGGCCGGCATGGGGACCTGCCAGCCTGTCACTCTGTGCTCTGCCACTGAGATGCATCAAGTCATGTGATCTTTCCATCAAGGTACCATTAGCCTGTATGCTGTGTTAGAAATGGGGTGTCTCGTCCTCTGGGCATATCATGTCAGGATGCACGCCACACCGTGTCCTGTTACCCTAGCCTCTGCCTAGTTCCCTGCACACTATATTACGTGTACTTCTAGTGCACCTGAGGCTCTCAAAGCATTTTAGAGCCAATAAATGAAGTCTCGGAACACTCGTTAGAGTTAGACGTTCTTATTTCCATTTTACCGGTGGGGAAACTGAGAGACGAAGCTAAGAGTTGCCCAAGAGTGACTGGCAAATTGGTGGTAGAGCTGGGAACAGAAACCCTGAGCCCTGATTCGGAGTTCTCTGCTCTAATCACTAGATAGCACTCTCTCCCTCCTCACCCTACACTGGATTGTTAAATTTGCCTGGGCCGTACCTTCTACGGTGCCGAGGCAACCTGCCAGGAGAGGAACTGACTCAATGCAGCATGGCATATTGGTATTGCCTTGTAAACATAAAGATCGCTCTCTTTCATAGGGGAACGTGCCTCCTTGCTAATCTTGCTATTCTCAGCAGCTTTGTAGGGTCCCCTTCAGGACATGTCTACTGCCATGGGAACATGCCTCTCTACGGAGTGATTTATATGGCTTAATATATTCGACCGAACACTTACTGAGCTCCAGCAGCAGAGAGTCCCTCGTTTCTGATCTTAAATATGTGAAACCTGCATTGGAAGGGCTCGGCAGAATGGGGTGGCTATTCACTCAGCCCTGGGGCCTTTCCATCACCCCTCCCAAACCCCTTCCCTACCTTGCTGATAGTCCTGAGCGCAGTAGGGCGGGCTCCTTCTCCCTCTCGCTCTGTTCTGCACCCAGGGCAGAAGAACCTGAGAAGTGTCTCCTTACTTCAGTCTCATTGAAGGAATCTCACGTATCAGAGGTGGGGAGCTAGCTGGTGTCGCCACCAATGAGGACAGGCAAGAGGTGGGACTTAGCTGCAGTGGGAATTAAGTTACTCACCTGCTACAGGTACAGTTACCTTTCCAAAGCAGGATGTTGCTCAGTACTGGGTGGTGGCGACAGCACTTGACTGAACACCTTTCTGTGCATAGGGGCGGCCTAGCCCAGTTACGAGTACTCAGCAGCTCTCGACTCATGACCAGGCCTTATACATCTGCCTGGCTGCTTCGTTTCACTTTCTGCTAGCTCCCAACAACCAGGCTACATAGTCTCTGTACCTTTAAGGACCTGGAAGGCAGCAGCAAAAGGAAATGGTTCACCTGCCCCAGGATCTCGTTCATTTAGGCCCAACTCGGAAGTTAGGAGCCTACGTACCTTTGAGGATCTGGGCCTTATTTCTTTAGGCCGTGATGCTGCAAGCTACTTCCTGTGGGTGGATCCCAGCACTTACATGGAGCCCCACTGAAATCCATCGGCCAGGTTCTGTGCGATCACAGACGCCCATCCACGTGGAGCAGCTTGGTGGATCACGGCCTTCGTTTGTTGCGTGAAATGTTCCCCTTCAGCGTGAGTTCCAAAGGCTCGGATCCACAAAGGTAGTTAGGGTCGGAACTTCGATTGCTTTCAATGGATATTAGGAACCTAAATACCTTTGCGACTCTGGGCCAAAATGTTTAACCATTTTATTAAATGATGTGTTTCCTTTTTCATAGCGCCTTTCAACTCAGGCTCTCCGAGGGCTGAGTCTGCCTCACACAACCCCACTGTGAGGTGGGTATTATTTTCCCCAAATTTACAAATGGAGTAACTGAGTCACAGAACAGTGACATGACTTACCCAGGATCACTGCACGAAGCAGTAGCAGAGTGAGGAATAAAAATTAAGTATCCTGACCCTCCCCACCCAACCCAGTCCCATAATTACTAGATAATGCTATGGCCCTGCTTCTGTGCAGATGGACCCCCTACGCCTAACACAGAGTTTCTTGCAGGATTGGGCCCTGTGTTTTCTAATCATTTATTTATTTTCCTATAACAACCATAGCATGGTGGGCATGTTGTATATGAACAAGGAGGTACATTCCCTGCCAAAACAAGGTACAGTCAAAACGTCTCTTGGAAAATATGACGGGCAAAACACACAAGAACCCAGACTTTATTATAGTGAGGGACTTGCGTGTGGGCTTGCATTTTCCTTGGGAGATGTCTAGAAATAGCCTGAGAAGGCCAACACTCAAAACCGGCTTTGTCCTCACCATACGGTTAATAGGAGAGAGCATGAGGGCCACATTTTAGGATGCCAGAAGATACATTTTAGGACTTTGTAGCTACATTCTGGGCATTCCCCCCTTAAAAGCGAAGCCAACGCTGGTTAATTTATTGCATATCTCGTGATATTTGGGGTATTTCTTAAAGCCCCAGTCCCCGGAGGCAAGTTTATGTGAGAATCTTTGATTGCATGTGTGTTTTTTTTTAAAGTTCTAGCCCTCATGGTTATGGAGGAAAACTAGAAAATATGTCAAAACCCTAGGGTTGCCAACTTTCTACTCACACAAAACCAAACATCCTTGCCCTGTCCTCTACCCCGCC